TATTCGAGAAAGACCTGAACATTCAGTAAGCAGACCTTTTGTGTCCACAGCCCACTGCAGCAGGTCCACATCAGTAAAGTTTTGTCACAGTTTCAGTTTTCTGCTTTCATTAAAGTAATGCGTGTATTAAAATTAGAAGACGATGACGTTGCAAATTACAGAATATATACTAGTATATACATGTCCGTGTGTAGTATATATTCTTATGACAAATAAATGTTTGAATGACATGGGAGTGGGCATGTGCCCTTACAGTCTATGCTCCTGCTAAATTCTGGTAGATCAAACTTGTGTATGCATATGTTATACTGTTAGTGCATATACTGTTGTGTACTGACGCGATTAACACACTCTATGGTGACATTGTTTTTAATGCACCAGAGCAGTTCTCAGCCTGTATGCAAAGGCACCCGCTGCTGTTAATTTCATGGTAGTGGAACGTAGACACTCAGTCTTCCGTCACTCTTGCATCTGTTGAAATTGACAATAGTAGTAAAACAACACTGATTGTTAATCCGTTTGCTTGTTTAGCTCCCAATATGCACTTGATCTTGGAGGCGTTAATAAGCCTGAAATAACATTAAGCAAGCGACCTTTTGTTTTGTAATTAAACTAACTTTTCAATGCATTGCATTTCAGCGACGCACAACTGGATTAAAATGAGAGACGCGGTTCAGTCATATATTGCTCGTTTGAACTGGGGCAACCGAGTCGCTTTGAGGGAGAAGCTCGTCACATATGTCAACGGCTACGCATCGTTCACGTCTAGCCATGAAATAAAAGTATTATTTCATCAGCAATAGAAGAAAATGCTCGATGTTTCCTGAGAGACGACGATTATTTCAATGTCGTTTCAGGCTATTGATAAGAACAAGAAGGAGACGCGGATCACGTCTGACCGTTTCCTCATATGCACCGGTCTCCGACCGCGGTACTTGGATATCCCCGGAGCTAAGGAGTACTGTATTACCAGGTACGGTTTTAAAATTCATTGAAGAGGTAATAAATACTATGATGCTCAAAGTGCGCATAGTTGGATAACAAAAATATGCATGGTCACTAGATAGCAAAAATAGTTCAAAACCTCTACCTGAAATTCCATGATCTTCTCTACCTGAAACTTCCACGCTGACATAGAGAAATGAAGAAATGACCTCAAAATCTTTCAGTCTTTAACTCTTATTTTGTTATTCAGAATATAGAATAAGGAAAGCAGTGCATGAAGTTGAGGAATTAACGAGAGAACAACTCATGGAGGAACTATGAATGAAAGGGTTTGAGTGGGTAGAAGAAGAGAATAATCCATATAAAGCAATCGAACTTTGAACAATTTAAAAGCAAGCAAATGGTTGAAGTCGTAAGGAAATGATTTTTAAGAGACGATAAACACATAAAACTACGGAAATTTTGATATACAGGAGTAATTGAGAAAAAAGAAGTAAATTAGATAGGATAAGCTTGTCTGTAAGGCAGCAAGGAATATGCGAGGCAATACGCTTAAATGATCGAAGGTTTAACAGAAGAAATTGAGGATAAGAAAGTGCAAAAAACTAAGAAACTTAGCCTCTAGAGGATCTAATTGAAGAGCGAGGGGAGGAAAAGCGGTAGAGGAAGCTACAAATGAGCTGCAGAGCTAAATGAACAGAAACGAATCAACGCCGGTTCGACGGAATTGATAGAGGAAGGTTTGCAGAGAAAGATTTGGGAGGGTACAAGCGATTGATTTGAAGAGAAACAGTGGAAGGACTAAGGAGCTGAAAACGGGAGGGATGGAATTTGAGGGGGGGGGCGAAATGCGAAGAGATGCTATGAATGGAAAGAATTTAAGAATTAAAGATAGAAGAAAGCGACAAATTGAGACAGTACTGAGTAGAAGGATAAATTGAATCTCGATGCCCGGGACTGAAGGAGAGAATCTTGGAAAAGACGTCAGGGAAGGTCTGATAAGACACGGCTAGAAATCGTTGAGATGATAAAAAGAAGAATTTTCAGAGCGAACGAAGAACTTAAAAACAGTGGGATGAAGGATGAAAATATGGGGTCGTAAGATAGCATAGGAAGAAACTTATAGACTGACAAAATGCTGACAAATTTTAGCCGAAAGCCAAAAATTGAAGGGAGAATTAGTAAGCAGTTAAATTTAGCAATTGGAAGGAATGAATGGAGTAAGATTAGACACGCTTAGAAGCCTTCAATAAAACACTAACAGGTGAAGCTTTTGGAACCCATAATGGTATTCCTTATTTAACACAAATTGTATTATACAACGAAGATATCACGGTCATGGAGATCAGCAAATTTACAGTTAAAGCACTGTAACGGAGACAAATAAGAACATAAGAAACGCGAAGATAAAATGAGATGAAGGGATGATGGAAATGAAAAATGCATGGAGATAGAATGGTAGAAAATAAATTATTTAGAATGAGGTTTCAGCTGGATGATAGGTCTTTCAAGCTTAATTTGTCATTAACACAGGCTGTACAAAAATCTTTAATGAAGGTCGATTCTCTTATCATGAGACCAGCAAAGGCGTTGTCTCGGTCAAAGATCTTCACATCCTTAAGACTAATACGATGCTTTTTTTTCAAAAGCTAACAATAGCCTAATGTTATTCGTTTTTATGCTTGAAAGCAGTCATTTGTTCTTTGAACCCGTTTAGTGATGCAGATGTAAATTTGTTGACAACGTTTGTAATCCGTTTGATAAAGTGCCCAGTTTTAATTACATCCTCTACTATGGCGATGAAAGATATTGAGTAAGATGATGCCTTTTTTAGAGATGATTCTAAATTCAGCCTTACTTAGATGCTGACAGAAGGATTGAAACAGATTGAGGTAGAAAGGTAAAATAGGATATTACGTTACGTTAAGATGTAGATGAATGTTATTAGTTGGATAAAAGAGATCTGCTACAGAAAATTGTTGTCTTGGCCATTATTTTGAAGGATAAATGATTGGTTTTGGATTTCGGCTCTACGAGTCGAAGGTCTGTAGCAAAAAGATGTCGCCCTTCTATTAATGATGATGAGAATATTGTTGGAATATAATGGAGAACTCCATAGCTTGGATGTAAGAACCAAGCGGTAAAGCAAGTGGGATTTATGGATAAAGTCTTTCTTTATCTTCCTTTCTAGGAATGCAATGACATTAATGTTGTTCTTTGACTGTGAACTCTATCCTCTTCTCACTGTCAAAGCCATTAAGGAAATTAGGAAGGACAGATAAAGACTGTTTTGCTTCAAGAACGTTAATGTAACTGCAGCAGCAGGAAAGTTTTATTTCAGGAAGGCAATGATCTAAAGCGTCGAATTAAAATTTATTCAGAACGTTGACAGCACATCCACTAGCAACTCCTTAGGATTAGCAGTAGACAGTGCTGTCATATTCAAAACCAGCATTTGAAAGAATCACTTTAAGAACATTCAAGATTTCTGAAACGGATAAATCCTTCATTGCTGGACGTCCATTTTTCCAGATTTGTTTGGTTTCTTCCAATATCTTGGTGCAGTCGAAAACTCTCCTCACCGAAAAGTTGTCAGAAAGGCTTTTAGCATCGAATTTCACCGTTTTGAAAGAACCGGCAGAGTAAAGATTGAAACATTTCAGTTTTTCAGTGAAGTCTTCGCCACTCTTTACCCGGTAAGTACACCAAAGGTTATGATGAGTGGAAGAAATTCATGAATTAAGAAAAATGATTTATTCCAAGAAGCGATTCTAAACCTCTCGCAATGTGAGGGACCGATTGAGGGAAAAAGAAGGTCATCGTCTTTCGTCGAATTTTTCAATTCTTGTCTTGTTTCAACCCGCTTCAGTCCCTCTGCTTTTTCCTATTCTGCTCTATCGTACATTTTTTGTTTCTCAATTTTTACTTTCTTTACCTCTCAGTCTTACATCTTCCATGTTTCTTCCATTAATTCTTTACTTCTTTTTTCTTTTCACTGGTTCAAATTTTTCTCCTGTTTCTCATATGTTTTCTTTGCTTATGCTGCGATTGCTTCAAATAAGTTGCCTTTTACCTGTCGTAATACAGGTTGAGTATCCCGAATACGAAATATTTGGGATGCAGATTGTTTAGGAGTTAGGATTTTTTCGATTTCAGGTTACATGATATGGTGGAGTTTAAAAAACAAAAAAATTCAGGGTAATTTATAACGGATAACAAAATTACAAATTATTAGCTACTAAAACTATCAAATGCCTGTTCTCACCAAATTTCTCTACTAGGACATAAAATCACGAACCTCCTTCTTTTAAATAAAAACATGTTTGGGCCAGAACAGTGAGTTCCAATTCTAAAACGCTGCCCGTTGTGAGAGTGATGATACGGATATTATAGAAAGCGGCGTAACGGTTTTTTTTTACAAATTGCAAGAAACTCTGCCATTCCACAAATTAAACCGAGAGGGTTTCTTTGCATCATACATACAGCATCATCAGATACAGAAGTGCATTTTATGCAGTTTATATAAGTTGGAAGAAGGAAGGAAAGGGCGGTGAAAGTTAAGTTTTATCGATCGTATCCATGATAAAAAACACATGGAAATAGGGTGTTTGACATGTTCTTTCTTTTGACCCTGCGCACAAAAGGAGTTGTAGCTTTGCTCAC